ACCAAAAGAAAAAAAAAAAAAAACACTTGAAAAGTACTTAGAAGATCTTTTAGCTAGTAAAAGAAGCTGACATATTATTCGTTGTTGTTTGGTTGGATGATTTTTCAATTAAGAAGTTATTAAATCCCGCTGACTGCTACTGCTGTTTGTATCTATTGAGAATTTGGATTTTTTAGCCTTGGTTTAGTTGTGGTGAAGTCCAAACTCTTGTGAGGTTTTGCTATTTGTTTGGTTCAGACTATGTAAAAGGAAAATTAGAATGAGGTATGCTTTGCACATTGGTTTGTGATAAGATTGTCTATATTCTATCTTGTCTTGTGTCTCTATTTTGTTTATAAAATTTTTCAAAAAATTTCCAACATTTTAACTCAACCACTTTTTTTAACTCAACTTGAACTCAACCCAACTATCATCAAAATTATCAATATAATTAAATAATATCCATCAATCATTCATACACACCACATCAACATTAATTCACTATTCATCCACTCACATTATTTTAACTAACCATCACTTCAAATCTCTCTCTCCTACTTTTACATCAAATCAATTTTAATTATTTTATTTTAAATATTATTTTAATATAGCCCCTAACAACTAACCAGACCACCTTTTTCGAAATTAACCAAACCAAATCAAAAAATCCAAACAAAACCAAAAATTTTTATAAACAAATATGCTCTAATTTTTTTACAACTTTTGCATTTTCTTCAAGTCATGAATTTTGAATACGGCCACCCAACTCGATACATGGTTTTGTTTCAAGTAAATGATAGCATCCTTAATAGCTGGCTTGCAAGACTGAGGTCCATCCTCCATAGTGTGAATTTAGTGAAACTTAGAATTCACACCTTAATTGCTATTAGGATTGAAAAGGAACAATTTGTCTTAATCCTGGGATTATGTACTTTTTAGTTTGAAATACAACGTATTTATATTAATGATGAGTTTGTTTTTATGATTTTCTTTTTCATTTTAGTGCCTTTAGAAAACAACGTATATATATATTAATGCCGTCAACTAAAGATAATGGTTATGTAAACTATATATATATATATATATATATATATATATATATATATATATTCGCATTTGCTCCTTGTTTCTGTTCCATTTTCTTCCATTTTTCGATTTCAATTTTGCTTTTCGTCTTAATTTCGGTTTCTCTTTTATCGTTCGGAGTCTATTCTCGCAGATTCTCGTCTTAATCGGTGAGTATTTTTGCTGTTGTTTTTGTTTGTAATCACTTTTTCGATTTTAGGTTTTTCATTCTTTCATTTAATAGATTAGAGTAATAGGTTTTGGTTATTTTTTATGATCTTTGTTAAGTTTTTTTTAAGTAAATCCATGTATAAAGTATATATCATCCGTATTTTTAGGTTATTGATGTTTAGTTGCAAGGTTAGGTGTCTATGTTGTTAGGTTAGTTTCTGATGCTGTTAGGTTAGTTGTCTTTTGTTGTTAGGTTAGTTGTTTGTTCTTTGCTAAGTTAGTTGTCTTTTTGCGGCTAGGTTAGTTGTCTGTTGTTGCTAGGTTAGTTGTCTGATGCTGCTAGGTTAGTTGTCTGATGCAGGGTTAGTTGTCTTTTGTTGTTAGGTTAGTTGTCTGATGCTGCTAGGTTAGTTATCGGATGTTGCTAGGCTATTTTTCTGATGCTGTTAGGTTAGTTGTCTGCTGCTAGGTTAGTTGTCTTTTGTTGCGTCTCAAAACTTTATTTTTCTAATATCAAAATCATTAGGCATCCAACATCCAATTGCCCATAGCTCCTCTAATAAAGTTCCAATTCTAACAAAATGCAGATAAAGTCATTGATCATAAGCTCAAGCTAAAGGTACCTTCTATGCATGACGCACCAACATCATCCAAGTCTCTTCTAGCATTGAATTCCAAGTCTGACCAAACAGAAATCCACCTACACAATGTCTCACTCCTAACACTACTGCGAGAATTAGTAAATAAGAGACACTTGGCTTATACAAATGCATCTGTCAATGAACACTTACACTACTTTTCTTCTTCCATGATGCCAGTTCTCCAATATTAAACCAGCTATCGCCCTTCCTTTACCGACACCTGCACCGTCTCCAAGAAAAAAACCTGCTAAGAGCAGCACTTGGAAGGTACTGAAGGTGTCTCTGTAATGACAAACCAACATTACAAAGGATGATTCCAAATTCTATTGAAAAACGTAGCAAAATTTCACCAAAGGCACCTGACATGACAAGCAGAGACCAATACTTCAATCTGCAGGCATGATAATGCCTCTGAATTCCCCAGGTCATCCTTAATCTTTAGATCATAAGTCGGTTCAGGAGGTTGTAGAGCTGATAAGGATGATGTCTGAACAACATGATATGGATGCAGCGGACCGATGGAAGGTCAGTGCACAAGGCATTGGATATTTTATACAAGGAAATCTAGCCAATAGAGCCTATGAATTTTTC